TTTATAGAAACCATAAACAAAATTATGCTTTCTTTCAGTGAATTAATAGAGAATCACGTCTTCTTTATATTTTATACTCAAGGAAGGAGTGTAATTAGGTTTTAAAAAAGTTTTCTAATTGTCGAATAATTTGGAGCCTGATCATTCGTTGCATTAGCGCTTAGGTATTTCAGTCAACAAGTTGCACGCGTTCCACGCAAAGAAAGTCACATATTTTTCAATCCCGTTAGAAATATATCATATAGAGTCCATGAATTTTTTCAATGGATGCGGACTAGGTTGCACATTTCATGAGGAGCCGTGGTAAACGTCTAGGTACGATGCTATATGAATGGACATTTCGCGGACGTGGTTAGATGATAGTTGGTAGCCCTCTTGAGACAGCAAACTCAAAGCTGCCTCTCAGTCGGGACCGGTGGTAATAGGGGCTATACGGGTGGGACAATTGAGTGGACGAGTAATTGGCGATTGTAGTATATGCTAGGAATTGACGCTCCTGGTAAAGTGGAAGCCTAATTTAGATTAGGTGAAAAATACAAGGAGGGTGTGGAAATGAGCAAGGAGACTTTGAACGGTATGTGGAATAAATGCATTCTAGCCTCAGATTGGAAAGAAAAGCAAGTGAAGGCAAACAACCAATGGGAAGAAGGCAACTGGTCCGAAGGTCATTCCGCAGTGTAAGCGATAGAACTCCATCCAACATAATGGTCAGAAGGACACGAGAGTCAAGCAGCGGCAAGCGGAACGCCACAACGCAAGCCGGGTAAGACTTTTATGCGAAAAACTGGTCTGGGCGGAAGAGAAAATCCGCAAATAATGAGGCAGTCAAGAGCTACCTCTTTTTATGAAAGTTGATGTAGGGAAAGCCTCATTGTCATCTCTACCGGTGCCCAGGATAGTTCCTCCACAATGAATCTGGTACAGGTAATACAGCACGCATGAAAATTTAGAAGCATAATGAGAACGTAATCATGGCTACTGCAATCATGCCAGTAGGTACAATTGCGGATTATGTGGGCACGGTTGCCAACTACCTCTTCTAATGAAATTTAGCATAGGGTAAGCCTCCTTGTCATCGTTACCGGTGCAAATCTGCCAGGATAGTACCTTTAAAATGAATCAGATACAGGTAATACAGCGTGCGCGTGAATTTAGAAGCACAATGAGAACGCAATCACAGCTATTGAAATCAACCAAGTAGGCACCATTGTGGAGTCTGTGGGCACGGCTACCAACTATCATCTTACCTGCATGCCACATATGTAGTCATTTTTAACCGAGTACAGTTTCCAAAGGAGATTGAAATGCAGTCAGCTCCAAAGCCGACATCCTGCCGAGTCGGAAATGTTATAAGATTAAGTCGGAAGATAATAAGTATTACCACCGCGCCCAAGTTATCCTCCCTAGTCGAAAACGCATTTCAGGATTTTAGCCAGCATTTTATGAGATCGGTCACTCAGTGTACTCGTCAAAATAAGGCACTCCTGCAAATTGCTGGGAATATTGAACAGGATAGTGGCCAGAGGTGATGACGATGTTTAAGGCCCGGTAGTCACCGCAACGAGGCTGCCAAGCAGGTACCACCAGGCACCAGACACCGCCTCTTCTCCACATATCTTACTGGGTGATACATATCCATCCGGAGACTTACTGGGCCATGCCACCCTATCTTTCGTGCATAAACAATCGTAGTTATTGACACCATGACAGGGCTTCCAGCAAACAAATTCTCCTAAACTCTACCACATAAAACAACTGATCAATTGGTCTGCATGCCGATACAATGCGAATTTCATAAAGTTCGTCTAAGGTCATTCCCAGAGAAGGATATGTCTACAACATACAGAAAAAAATTAAGTATACACTGCTAGCAAACACAATAATTTGAAGTTAGTTTGAAAGAAATAAGTGGCGGAAAAAATGCCAAAACAACGTGCTTCAGATAAAAAAACCTACGCATGATTTTCGGCCACCGCAAGCAGGGTTTCCAGAGAACAGTGAACAAGTGCGAACATACTTTCTATGTCTGGGGGAATTTTGTCAATATTATATCAACACCCACACCCAGTAATACCAGGTCGTGAACTACACACTCTATGTGAGTGGGAGATATTACGGACGGGTTATTTCCGATTACTGCGAAACCTAGATATAATGAATCATTGAACGCAAGTTCACGTGTGCTCATCCCACTCGCAAGACAAATAAGCGTGTTTCTGCTTCGTGCCAGCATGGCCTTGAAACACCACGCATTTGTACATGCCTTCCATAAAGTGCCCCTAGAAAACTGGATAAATAGCCAAATGCACTCACCGATTTACAGCGATCAGCAAAAGGGAGCAACAGGTGTTGAACAACTCAGCATCCCCAGTAAGCATTCAGGAACATCCTCGCTAAGTGTCTAACAGTGTAGTATGTGTGGGAAGCATTTAAATTACTCTTTTTATGTTTGCTTCCATTTATTTCTAAAGCCGGTCTTGACTAATATGTCGTGGTGTAACAAGCTGACCCATAAATGCAAGCTTCCCTATTCAAAAGGTTATTTTCTATTGTCGCGTAAATTTCAGGCCAACATGAGCAACCGTGAGAGCAGCAGTTTGCCGCCAAAACAGAGGATTGTATGCACCCCTAAAATGTGCATCAGTTGTGAAGTTATCAATGCCCTTCTCTTTATCTGCGCAATCGTTTCTATCGCCGTGGGAACTTACAATCTGCGTGTGCTGAACATAAACTCCAAAGACTGTTCCAGTGGAGATCGAAAAGTCTGTGAAGACAAAAGGTGGTCATGTTGGAAGACTTAGTCATGCAAATCATGATTTTTACGGCTGTCCTACTGAGTTTATTACTTCGAGGCAAAATTCGTTGATGTAGTGATTTTGGCGATGATTGAAGCGTTTGCGCCGATTGTTTCAGATGACCTGCATTGCATAATTCCCATTTTATCATTCCTTTGCAGTTATTTATACGCAGAAGCCTATGCCATGATAGCTATTGGATGTATCCTGCTCGTCTTCTGTGTTACCCTCATTACTGTCATGCTAGTCCTCGCCAGGGAGACCTCAAAATATGTAAGACGACTCTCCAACCAACCCCCGGTAAGACGTGCATCTTCTTGCAGCATGACTGTTTTTGTTAACGTTTGCCAACTGAATATTTGCCTATCGATAGTACACGAATGACACTGTTGTCAGTCGCACTTGGCAGGTTATATGAATTCGAACCACTATCTAAGTATTATTGAAGGATTTCTTTAAAACTGGCTGTTCACCTGCCAATGCCCCAGAGATCTCTCCCGTCTCCGTCTAAAAGCATAGTTTTGCTAAATTGTACAGTAAAAGGGCATGTAATCGCTCGTCAGAATTCATGCTTCAAGGCCTGGCCAAACCTGTCACAACAAAGAACGCCTGCTGAAGCATGTAGCAGAAAATCTGGCCTATTTTTACCTAGAAAGTCATTGAATGCATTCTTTGAATTTCTTGCACGTATGCTCACACCCTACTTTCTGTTAACTGTCCTCTTTGCCTTCGACAAGGCTTACGGTGAAGTTATCCACTCTACGAGTTCTTGGGAGGCAAGTGTGGACGACGTTTGGTCCGTATGATGTACGATTGGCGGTCAGAAATATCGCAAGCACATCGCATTTACCTATTCACTGCAATATGCACAGACGTCGGTGTCCTAAATACGAACTTACCCTTTGAATCATTTCATGCGTTTACTGTTACTTTGTCATATTGCTGATGTTATATTACATGACACATTACTTCAGCTTCTTTTTTACCAAGGCCACAGTGTTTGGCTAATTTCTGCATTTATAGTCTATGAAATGAATCAGCAGCTACCAGATCTAAACGGGTAAGAATGTGAGTCGAGCACCTAAAAAATTCTGTTGGTCTCACAATGTCAATAAAGAGGCCAAACTATATCTATCAGTTTCGGCAGAATATCTTCCTGAAGGCAATCAAAATCTAAAGAAGTCTCACCGACATGCGCTTTTATAGTGCACGTAGAAGTTGCGAAATTATTCATAATTTGAAGAAGGAGAAGATAGGCTCTCCGGAACAGGTTTATTTACCTGCTGGGTCGGCTTTTTAGTGTCAAAGCGTAACATGCACTTAATCGATCAGAAATTTAATTTAAAGTGGCATGTTGTGTTGGCCGGCCTCATGCTGATCAATTTTTCTATCCTTTCGTTGCCTCGGCCTCTCGGGAGATGGTTGACAGGCGTTTTGCCTGTGTGCTTTGTGAGTCACCACTCCGTCGAGGGGAGCTGATTGAACCTTTGTCGGGCGGTCGGTCTGGCGGTTCTTGTTCTTCCTCACCGAGTAAACTCAGCGTCAGGCTATCTCCGTACGGCCTTTTTAAGTCCGGTGTGGTTGTTTGGTCCTGAGCTCTACAATTGTTATGACGTAGGACTTTGTAAGCTGGAGGAAGGTCCAGATGTCTGTTGATAGAGTGGGCGTCGGCGAATCACGCCTCGAGAGTTAGCCGTTATGCTTTTATGTTGCCTCGGCCTAAGATGGTAGCCCTCTGGAAGTCAAAAGTATGCCCTGCTTCTCCAACGTGTATTGCTAGTTGAAAGTTAGGGTCTAACCTCCGAGTGGCCGATTTGTGCTCTTGTATTGATGAATAGCTGCCTAGGCTGCATACTAAGCCTACATCATTTCCGACACTGCGAAATCGTCTTGATAGGATGAGGCAATAGCCACCTGGTCTACATGAAAGGTTTTACACCTCTGCGCCAAACCACCGTTTGAATGTATTGCGCTTTATTGAATCGCAGCAGGAAACAACATCAGCGTTGATTAGACAACCGTTTAGGTTGCATTGACTGTGAACGCGTTGTTGTCAAAAGGTATGGTAAAGACTGCATTTTGTGAATCCAAACAAAGAATACGGACACCCTAGCTGCTAACACAAATGTCAGACCTGTAGGCTAAACTTCTATTTGCGAACTGATAATATGGGAGACGACGAAACCCTAGTTTGTAGACGTTTTCATAAGAAAATAAGATGGTGTGAGCTAACCTAGACTCATTTAAAACAGCTCATGAGAAGGCGGAGCGGCAAAAGCGAAAGCAAGCATTCCTAATATACGCATTCAAATAAATTTAGAGCTGAAAGCGTCCACGTGAACACGTTCAAACTGGACAATCCATGTCCTCCTAAGTCACCTTTTTAGGAAAGTGGGACACGTGTCTTGAAAAAATTCGATCATGTAACAGGACGGTCCTTAGTCC